TAGGTGTGTGTATTCATGGTGATTTTATTTACATAATAAACCAGAAGAGTCCTAATAGGAAAGCGAATTCAGATATAAAAGTAAAATTCCTCTTTAAAAGAGATGGTCGCTGTAGTAGACTTTTTAGACCAGGGACAGTAACTTAAATAGTTATATATAGCGTGTACAAATAAATTTTCATAAATTTTAATGTATGCTGCTTGAGTTTTCATTATTTAAATGCAAACTAATAACGAGGGTTGGCTTAGATGCCGAGAAGGTAAAAATTTCCTGGATTCCACTCTTGTAATCCTGCAATTATGAAAATAATAGACCAATAATTGGTACTTTGTTCCGAGGGTTGGGGGATAAAACAAAAGAAATCACATTGAGGGTCGGGGCTTAATAATTTATTCTCCCAACATATGGAGCCATGTATCGAAATTAGTCTATTTGCAGGCCCCTTGTTTTTCTTGTTGTCTATTCATGATTTAAACAACGTATCGAAGCATGCCGAACTGATTTTATTCCCTGATGACGCTAATTTTTTTATGTCCCATAAAGATCCTACCCGCCTGGCAACCTCGTAAAATTCCGAAGTTAATAAATTATTTTCTCGACTTAAGGCAAGCAAGCTATCTTTAGATTTGATATAATCCTCGACAGAAAAGCTGTCATTTTCCAGTGCAAATATACACAAATGAACAAAGAATCGAACAGGTTAAGGAAACCGTCTTTCTCGGGGTAGTCCTTGACGAACATCTGTCTTGGAGACCTCACATTTCTCGAGTTGCTCCAAACATCTCTATACCAATAGGAATCATTTATATAAAGGAGCATTTTTTCTACCTAAAGGCTCTTTAAAAACTCTTTATTATTGTTTAGTTTATTATTTAGTTTATTATTTATTTTCATTATTGTATTATTGTCTGGGGATCTACCTACGAAACCAATCGTTGTCGTCTTGTCTCTTTGCAAAAGCGAGTTGTCAGAATTATTCCTAAATCAACTTTCGATGCTCATTTAAACCCTACTTTCAAAAAATTAGAGCAAATAAAAATTTCCGACATTAAACAACTAGAACTAGGTAAATTTATGTTTTCCTTTAGCCATTCTTTTCTGGCAGTAATTTTTAAAGATTACCGTTTCATTTAACACAGTCCATAGCTATGACACTAAATATCATACACGGGCTTTTTAAATCGGGTATACGGTATATTGCAGCTTAAGAGAGTGTCTCTGTAAGAGCGGTCCGGTCGATTTTCCTTGAGACATAAATTTAGCTCATTTCTTGTGTGTTGTAAGAAATTCATGTACCTATACTAAAACCACAATCCGTTTGATCGGATCTCTTTATTTTTCAGAGTTTTACGGAAATTAAATTTCACTCGACCGAAGGCCTGTCGTGACACTTTTCAAGACGTTAATTTGAGGCAACTTTTCCGGACAATTTACAACAAACTACGGGACTCAGCAAAAAACAAATACCACAGCCATGTATATTAACTCTATCTTATCCATCGAGGCGACTTTCCTGAACATCACGTTTCAATCAAGCAAACAGGAAGACTTGAACGAAACCTTATCGGTTCGCTTAAGTCACACACGCGAAAACCGATCAAATTCAAGGTACATTTTTGAAAAAGTGAGGCGTTTTTAACTGATCCAACTAATATAGCTAGGAAGTAGGTGCCATAGAAAAGGTAACTACAGAAAAAAACTTTGCGGCCCGACCTTTACTAAAACTTTATAACTCCGTGAACATACCTAATTTTCGGCAATCTCCAAGTTTTGCCGCCATTTTGAGGTACTTGTCAACATGAAGCGTAGCAGATATAAATCGAGCAGGTAGATCTAAAACAGTCAGAAATACGTACGAAAGCATTTAAATGAACTTCACGTTCAATTCAAGGGGCAAAATTTGAAATTGTTCGTTAAACCTACCATTCCTACATCCCCATGCGACCATTTCTTCCAACAATTCAAACACTACAACTAGTGATCACTAGTGTTTGAATTTCCCTTGTCGATTCCACCGTAACAAATAACCTGTGCCACCCAAGCTTCGACTCGAATGTGAAGTACGAATCAAACAACATGACTGCGTCATCTTCGAGGCCATATCACGCTGGTATTTTGATTTTCTGATCGACAAGAACGGTGATCCGGAGGTGATCGCCATGTTTACCTCATAAAGGTGACCGCTGACCAGCCGCTGGGTGAAAACAGAACGCCGCGGGGTGGTGTGGGTGGCGGACTTATCGTGATAAGACATTCGGATACACGCTAAAAAAGCTTTAGGACTCTCAGTCTAAACAGTGAAGGCATGCTTCGTGGTACAGACAACTTTTATTTTATTCTCATAACTTTTTCCTTTAAATTAAAACTGGTATTAATTAATAGAGTTATTTAAATATTTTTAACCGAGGTACCCATATGACTTTTTTGCTTGACCTCAGTGGTATAAAATAAGTTGTCTTTTCTTCAAGAACCTTTTATTTATGCGTTATTGCACGGAATG